GAACTTATTTACATTTTGTGTGTTTTTGTAATTATCAACATTATTATAATTATTGAAATATCATAATTTATTTGTTATTAATTATAAACCACATTAATTATTTAAATAAATAATCAAAAATAGATTTGAGTCAGAAACTAAATTAAGTTAATCAGTCAAATTAATTATTACAATTAATAATTATTATTTAAATTAATAATTACTTTGAGTATCAAATTATTTAAATACAGTGTTTTTTATTATAACTTGTTTTTGTAATTAGTAAAAAATAATAATTAAGCACTTTAATAAATTAAATAAAGAATCAAATGATCAATCAATAATCAATAGATTTGAATCAGAAAATAAATTAAAAGTTTTTTAATTACTCTCAGCTTAAATGAACAAGAATCTGTAATTAAACCATTTAAAAAAGGCACATTTTTATGAAATAAAAAATTAAATAATATTATTCCAGATTCTTTTTAATGAAATTTCAGAAGAATCATCAATCAATATATAAATAATGAGAATTACATCATGCAAAACCAAAATAAAAGTCTGACTGTAGAAAGTGTAACTGATCATGGTCATCTCTCACTGATGAAATGACAGAAACATAATCAATATTAATAATAATAGAGAGTCTGAGGCGAGATGTTGAACTGTCATGAGACGTTCTGCTTCTGCGCTGAAATATGACCAATAATATTTAGTAAAATAACACTGTCAGCTGATGATCAATGGAGGAGGAGTGTGTCTCTGTGTGTGGTCTCTGCAGCGATGGAGGACAGGGTGTGTGCCCTCTGTACCTGTACATGTGATGTGTGTGTGTGTGTGTGTGTGTGTGTGTGTCAGTATCTGTATATGTGTGTGGTCTCTTCAGTGATAGAGGAGGTGTGTGTGTGTGTGTGTGTGTGTGTGTGTGTGTTCTCAGTATCTGCACATGTGATGTATGTGTGTGTCAGTGTCTAGTATGTGTATATGTCTGTGTGTGTTGTCAGTATCTGTACACATGGTGTGTGTGTGTGTGTGTTGTCAGTGTCAGTATCTGTACATGTGGTATGTGCTGCTCCAGGCTGAAGGGAAGGCCCAGTCAGGGAATGTGCTGATGAGTGTGTGCAGCGGCGGCGAGTGTTTATCAGGACCGCTGAAATAATGAGCAGAAATGGCCAACGAGAGCAGACCCTCATCAGGAGACGCGTCTGAGACCCCCGGCTGAAACACACAGCACAAACACACACATCAGCTGACGGAGAGCACCCTGTGTGTGTATCTACATGTGTGTCATGGGGCCCGATCATTCACCTGGCACAATAAGGCGCAAGACATGTTTGGTGTGATTTGCTGCTGTTTTCAGACCAGTGCAGCTGTAGTTCTCATGTTTTGCGTCACGTTGTTTAAATAGTAAATCCATCTGCACCACTCTGTGGACTCACCTGTGTGCTGGTCTATAAAGGAGGTGTGTTAAGGCGCATTGTTGGAGCGCTGCTATTCTGAGCAGCTGAAATAGACCAACAGCACCACTGACCAACTAAAAGCTGCTCTAGAGTCCAGCAGAGTGTGTTAGTGTGCGTTCACACCTGTGGATGGATTCAGTTGTTCTGAAGCAGAGATTGTTACAGTGTTGCTCTTTGCTCTTGGAGCGGTTCGCTTTCACACTGCACAGTTTCTAATCGGACTAAAAAGCTAAAACAAGTCACGTGTGAGTAAACTCTCCTCACATTGGTCAGAGTGTCAGGGTTTATTTTGCAGCGTCCCGCTCAGCTGTCAGGAGAGGTGGTGGTTTGGTGGTGATTGACAGGGCGTGCGCGCGTGTCTGAGGAGAGATGCGGTGGGGAGGGGTGAGAAGAGTGCGTGACGATGCCTATTTGAGGACCGGGAGGGAGACGCGAGATTACCGGGAGATCATCACTCGTTTGCGGGCATCCGGAGACTCGCGAAACTTCCCGCCATACTCATAATTCTCTCTTCATATAGCCGTAAGCCTATTACATATCCATAACACACTGTGATATAACCGCGCTCGGATCAAATCGCTTTCTCACTGCAATCGAACCGCTCCAGGGTTCGTTTCAATCGAGCCGAGACCACCTCACTCAAGCGATCTCGGAGCGACTACTTTGGCGTGGAACAGAGCACGATTGCCCTGTTCACATATGCCAAACGAACCGCGCTAACTGGGCAAACGAGACACGTTCCCAAACAAAAGTGTAGGTGTGAAAGCAGCCTAAGTTATGCACCTATGCAGGTCTAAACACTTACACACTGCTGATACACACAGGATGATCAGCAACACACAAATATGGCTGGTGATCAAAAAACTTAATGTCAAGCCTTGCTCACAAAGTCTGCCATGAGAATAGCAAATGCACCATGGAGCGACGCAACTGACTCTTAAAGGGAATGAGAGACGAGACTCTGATTGGTTGAATGCAGGTTATGTTCAAAACACAGGCAGCACTCATTGAGAGAATAAGCTCAACCCTGTTAGACCATGCACCGGGACGCAGAGCGTATTTATTCATTCTTAACATAGCAAAAGTGGATTCAGACACGCCCTTAATGCTTTTGCACCATGCACTTTAGACTCTGTGCTTAGATCATTAAAATAGAGCCCTCTATTATTAGACCCCCTGTTTATTTTTTCCCCAATTTCTGTAGGGCTGGGCGATACGGCAAAAAAATAATAAATCTAGATTTTTTATAAAGTTTGACCGATTCAAGATTTCTTTATTTTTTAATTGTGTAACTAGTCAACTTAAAACAACAACATGACTGAAGTAATTCTCTTCATAAGCAACTTAAAAACCATCTGGATAAGGATCATTGTATTTTTAATGGCCATGCCGTACATAAATTGGTCAACAAGATGTAAAGAAATGTAAAACAAATTCACGACTTAGTCAGCGCATCGACATATGATGCAGTGGCACGTCAGGGCGTCCCGTGTTCGAATCCTGGCTCGAGGACATTTCCCTACTCCCCTCTCTCTCTCCAACTTTGCTTCCTGTCTAAATACTGTCCTATCCAAAAAGGCAAATGGCCAAAAAATAAATCTTAAAAGAATAAATAAATAAATAAAACATTCACGAGTTAAATATCGCTGCAGAAGATTTGACTAAGATATATTTGTGTAAATATTGCAGTTGCAGGAATACAGAGGGATTTTTTGCTAGTTTTGCTGAGCCTGGTAAAGATTGGCTGTCAGCTCAGCTTTGACTTTGTCTTCTGATTGAATGTCAGGTTGTGTTGCTGCTGCCTTTTTCTTAAAAAGATACAGTGGAGGTAAAGCACTGAACATGGAAACTGTAAAGCCTAATTTAACCCAATGTGTGAAGTTGTGGACGTATAGCAGGAGCAAATACAAGCACCAGATGTGTGTCTAACATAAAATAATATATTTAATCTGTTTTTCTTTTTCCCCCTTTTAAATACCGATCATTTGATGCTGTTTGCTCCACTCTCTGCCTGATCTGTCTGGGTTTCAACTAGGTCTGCTAAATGACGTCATGGAGGCGGCTACTTTCATTTTCACTGCTACAGGCCCTCACCTCTGCTCGTGTTCAAACCAAAAGATCGGCGTAGTTTTTTCTCATGGCGGGTTTTTACGTCCTTCATACATGTTGAGATCGAGTTTATCGACTCAATGAGGGAATGTCTTGACAATCCACACAGACGTGACTCAGACTAACGCAACAAGTAAAATCCTACATGACTTCACGCTTTAACAGGCATTCAAGCAGGTCGCACACCAGAATCGGCACGACATGGCGCGCACATGACAGTTTAAAGTATCACACACCAGACGCACACATTCGCATGATATTTAACATGAAACTAATCAGATGGCGCTCTGTGGCGCGGATAAAATATGACCTGCGTCCTAAATGGTGGCTGGGCGGCGCCGGTGTGTGTATAGAAACCAGTTTAGAATTCTAAAATCCATGGCGCTGTGTGGTGCTGCGCGTCACAGAGCGGCGCTTCTAGTGTGCATCCTGCTTCATACAGAGAGTGAACCAAAGCGCATTGGTGCCATTATAAGGTATCAAATGTATATATTTTTTTAAAAATCGCAATTTCTTGACTTAATATAAAATAAAATCGTCGTCAAAACGTAGATTCGAATTAATTGAAAAAAAAAAAAAAATCGCCCAGCCCTACATAATAGTGTTAATAACTCATCTCTAATAACTGATTTATTTTCTCTTCATCATAATGACAGTAAATAATATTAGACTAGATATTCTTCAAGACACTTCTATACAGCTTAAAGTGACATTTAAAGGCTTCACTAGGGTAATTAGGGTAACTAGGCAGGTTAGAGTAATTAGGCAGGTTACTGTATGATGATGGTTTGTTCTGGAGGCTATTGAAAAATATATAGCTTAAAGGAGCTAATAATATTGAACTTAAAATGGTAATAAAAAAATAAAAAAATGCTTTTATTCTAGCCGAAATAAAAGAAATCAGACTTTCTCCAGAAGAAAAAACATTATCAGACATACTGTGAACATTTCCTCAATCTGTTCAACATCATTTGGGAAACATTTAAAAACAAAAAAGGGGGCTAATAATTCTGACTTCACCTGTATATAAGAGTGTGTGTGTGTGTGTGTGTGCGCGCTCAGACTGACCTGAACCTCCAGGCTGAATCTCCAGGCCGGAGCGTCTGTACCGTGTGAGTAGAAGATGAAATATTCTCCGCTGAGGTCGAATCGCGGCGTCCCGTCACCGAAAGACCAGCCAATCAGAGACGCTCCAGACACCGGCAGTAGATACAGAGACATGTGAGTCGGCCCTGACACACAACAACAACAACAACACATGAGCAATACATATACACACACACACACATTTCAAGAATTAAAATGGTGAGAATACACTCAAATAAAATAAATAAATAAGCTCAAAAAGGGGTCACGGTGGCACAGTGGGTAGCATGAACGCCTTACAGTAAGAAGGTAGCTGGTTCGAGTCCCGACTGGGTCAGTTGGGGTTTCTGTGTGGAGTTTGCATGTTCTCCCCGTGTTGGCGTGGGTTTCCCCCACAGTCCAAACAAATGCGCTACAGGGGAACTGATCAACTAAATTGGCCATAGTGTATGAGTGTGTGTGTGTGAATGAGTGTGTATGGGTGTATCCCAGTACTGGGTTGCTGCTGGAAGGGCGTCCGCTGTGTAAAACATATGCTGAAATAGTTGGCGGTTCATTCCGCTGTGTTGACCTCTGATGAATAAAGGTAATAAGCTGAAGGAAGATGAATATTACTGAGGCAGAAGTGTTCACCTTTAGCCTCAAAGCTGAGTCTGAGCGTCCCCCATTCACTCTGCTGTCGGGACAGAAGCCGGAACTCCAGCGGCGCTTCAGGAGATACAGCTGGAGCCGGGAGATACCAGCTCTTCCTGAAACACACACCAGTTATCAGTGTAGAGCCTCATCCTGTACACATCAGAACATGAAGCACTAACGCCACATGATGTTTCTGGCCATTCACACCCACTACGAATTGCGAGCTGTGAGAAAAACAACACGCTATTGGCTGTTTTAGCAAAAGGGGAGTGGCTACTATAAGCTCCGCCCTCTTCATGTTTCAGTTGAGATTACATCATCATCACATGTCGAGCACTTCACCGGAGCTTTCAGACTCACTTGACGAGGAATTTGACGGGCAGGAACCAGGGGAAGCCGCAGTACGGCAGTGTGTGTTGGCAGCGCGTGCGGATGCTGTCGTTGAGCTGCGGGACGTGTGCGCTGATGTGCTGCATTCCTGTATAATCCAGACTGTTGATCCACAGACCAGAGTCTGAGCGCTCCACTGAACCATCCAGAGCGTGAAACACACGAGTGGTGTGCTGGAGACACACACACACACACACACACACACACACAGATATATACACACAGAAACACACAGATATACACACACAGACACACATATAAAATACAGATATACACACACACACACACACACACGCACACCAGACCCACATATTAACACACACACACACGGTCACACACACACATAAACATACAGACACACACACACACACACACACACACACACACACACACACACATACAGATACACACACAGTCACACACACATAAACATACAGATATACACACACACACACACGCAAACATACAGATACACACACAGTCACATACACATAAACATACAGACACACACACACACACACACACAAACATACAGATACACACACAGTCACACACACATAAACATACAGACACACACACAGTCACACACACATAAACATACAGATATACACACACACACACACACACACACACATAAACATACAGATACACACAGTCACACACACACACACACACACACACACAAAAACATACAGATATACACACAGTCACACACACAAACACAAAAACGCATGTACGCACGCACGCAGAGAGAGAGAGAGAGAGAGAGAGAGAGAGAGAGAGAGAGAGAGAGACGGACACACATCAGACATGCACATACACACATATCAGACAAACACACAGATACACACAAACACTCAGGTCAGAGGTCAGCTCACTGCACTGCTTTACCTGTGTTCACACACACACACACACACACACACACACACACACACACACACACACACACTACTGTACCTGGACGAAGACTCGTTTGGGTCGTGGGCTGGACGGATCTGCTGAATATGGGAAGAACAGACCACAGCCGACCAGAACAAACATCACAGCAAACACTGATCCCAGAGCAGCCAACATCCGCTTAGTGCTGCAGGACAGATAGAGCAGGTGCATCTGCGCACACGCATACACATACACACACACACGTCACAATGACACTTCAATATTTTATAATGCTCAAATTGGCATGGACATGCAACAGTGTCTGGGTGTTTCCTTATGCTGGATAAGTTGGCGGTTCATTCTGCTGTGGCGACTACCGTTTGATAAAGGGACTAAGCCGAAAAGGAAATAAATAAATGAAGTTTAAATGTATATATTTGTTTTGGATTGTTTAAATTTTTAATATTTGCATAAGTTTGAGCTTCTGAGTTTGAAATATTTGAATTTTAACGTCAGAAATTTGAATCTTCAGTTATGAATATCAGATCTGGAATGTCTGGACTGGAATGTTTGAATTAAAATATCAGAATTCTGAATATTTGCTTTTTTGTTTTGAATTTAAATTTTGGAATTTTTATTTGATCTTAATTTGTGAAATGTATTAAGTTATTTAAAAGTTTATATTTATATATTTGTTTTGGAATGTTTGAATTTGAAATATCTGCATGAATTTGAGCCTCTGAGATTGAAATGGTTGAATTTGAGTGGGTTTGAATGTTTAGATTTAATTGTGCCAATTTGAATGCTTGGATCAGAAATTTAGTAATTGAATTTGAATATTTAGCTTAGAATCATTTTAATTTTAAAATATTTGCATGAATTTGAATTTCTGAGTTTGAAATGCTTGAATTTTAATGTCGGCAATTTTAATATTTGAATTTAAACATATGATTTTAAATGTCTGGATTAAAAAAATCTTCAATATCCAAATTTTTTTAAATAAATGTTTCAATATTAATGTCTGAATTTGATTTTGTATGTCAGAACTTTGAATGTGTTATCTGTAATGTTTGAAATTGACAATTATGAACTTGATTGTTTGAAGTTTAACTTGTGAGCAGGAATATTTCATCTAAATGTGTGAATCTGAATGCGTAATATGCATTATACAGTTATGTCAGTTTGACTCACGAGATATGAGGACAGGATGACAGCCGCCAGTGTAATGAGGGCCGCCAGAACCACATCAGGTGGGATTTCAGTTCCACTGCGTCCCAGAATGGGTGTGAAGATCTCAAAGACCACCCAGATGAGGAACATGATGTGGACGTACGGCACGGAGAGACCCATCAGATAAAACACAGAGTACTGCAGAGACGCTCCTACACAACAACACACACATCAACACATGACTATGAACAGAATAATAATACAGGTACTAACTTAATAAGACCAAACTATTTGAATAAAACAGTTTCTGAATATCATATACCCTTTATAACTGATATGGCTGAAAATAATTTGCATTTGCTTTTGTTTGCTTAAATATTAAGCCTCTGGTAGTCTTAAGTCATTTTCAAATTACAGAATCACCAGAATGGTCTAAAACTCCCTGACTTTGTTGGCATTTGGTCTGAGAACACACACACACACACACACACACAAAAAAAGGCCAGGACTAAAAAAAAAAATAAAAAAAAAAGTCACACTTGTGGTCTTCGTGGTCAAAAATGCCCGCCATAGGAAACAAAAGGGAAATAAGCAAAAAAATAATAAATAAATAACATTCAAAAACATTGACTGCACCTTTGGCCCTGAAGTGTGTCCTGAGCAGCACTTTAGAGAGCAGAGGGAAGACCACCATCATCATGGGCACATATGCAGAACACAAGCCGTTTAGAGTGAGGAAGACCAGCGCACAGCACCACAACAGGAGACCCACGTCAAAGAAGAGCTCGGCCAGATCCACTGCGCTCACTCCCTGATACACACAGCACACACATCAGGACAGATTCAGTAATAATAATGATCAAATCACATGGAGTTAAATGGAATGTGTGGACTGATATATTGGGATTTGAATGAGTTGGAATGTTTGAATTTAACTTTTATTTTTACAATGTTTAGAATGAATTTTTTTTTTATTTAAATTTGAAATGTTTGCTTCAGGGTTTTTATTTCAATTATTAAATTTAAATATTTAAACTGGAATGTTTGAACAGATTTTTAGTTCAGAATGTTTTGGATTTAAAATATTTGCATGAATTTTAATTACTGAAAAAACTATTTCTGACATTAAAATTCAAATATTTCAATCTCAAACATTTAAATTCATGCAAACATTTTTAACATTAAAATAAAAATATTTTATTAAAAAAATACATTTTAAATTTAAAATGTTAACGACAGAAGTTTGAATTTATAATTCAAATATTTCAGTCTTTTTTGTTCAATTTATGTGT